CCCTTAAATTGTAGCTTCTCTTGCTTAATTTTATTTTAGCATATCAGTTTCTCTCTTTTGATTTGTGATAATTTATTTTTTTATTGTGTGTCATGACAATTCTCCAAAGTAACAGTCCTGTAGTTAATGGTAAAAATGGGTAGTGGGAGATAAAAGAAAAGAGATAATAATGGGACAGATGACTAAATAATAGGATATTTTATGAAACGTGTGTTAGAGGTAAGTATACAGTGCACTCATGATGTTTGAAACAAAGACAATTTTTTGTAGTGTAATTTTGCAACTGGCAGCAGTTAAGGTGTAGCAAAGCAAAGCAACTCCAGGGTGGAGACTTCTGGCAGATATCGGCTGTAAAGAGTTTGTTTTCAAGTATTAAAAAATACTCTTTAAATTTATGTTAGTTTGTCCCATTATTTTAATGGGAAATTGTGTATAAAAATGCCTGCAATTCTTAAACAGCTCGTGCAAAATTGTTGTATAATCCCTTGAATTAGAGCTGGAAGTCTCCACTTTAATCATATTGATTGATTTACAATTAACTGTAATGGTGGGCAAAGGCAAAACTGCAAAAGGGCACTGTACATGTGTTCTGTATCTATGCACACGGTCCTGCAGAGTTACAGTGAGAAGATATGGAGATGCAGAGAAGTGTTAGTCCTTCTCCTGATTTCCTTTTTGTGTGTGTATGTGTTTATCGCAGTTAAATTTTTCAGATCAGCAAACAAATGTAAATATTAGAGAAAGACAACACAAGTCTTGCCTACTGCACCCCCAGTTAGAGATACACCAGAGTTCATTTCTGCTCTAACCACACCCAGGCCTGATTACTGCCACACCTGTGCTCAATCAAAAAATCAAATGGAGCAGACTCAAAAGCCAGAAATCATGCTGCATTCCAAAGAAAACTCAGGAACTGAGAATGAGAAACAACATAATTAAGATCTTTCAGTCGTAAAATGTTATAAAGCCATTTCTAAAGCTGTGGGACTCCAGTGAACCTCAGTGAGCGCCATTATCCACAAATGGCAAAAAAACTGAACAGTGGTGATGCTTCGCAGGAGTGGCCGGCCGACCAAAGTTAACCCAATAGTATAGCGAAGACTCATCCAAGAGTTCACAAAAGACCCCAGAACAACATCCAAAGAACTGCAGGCCTCACTAGCCTCAGTTAAGGTCAGAGTTCATGACTCCACCATAAGAAAGACACTGGATGAAAATGACCTGCATGGCAGAGCTCCAAGACAAAAAACCCCACTGCTGAGCAAAAGGAACATAAACCTCGTCTCAGTTTTCCCAGAAAACATCTCGATGATCCGCAAGACTGAAGGGATCTTCCGAAGCTGAACTCTTTTGAAGATTTGAGTCCCGTTACGTCTGGCGTAAAACTAACACAGCATTCAAAAAAGGAACATCATGCCAACAGTAAAATACGGTGGAGGTAGTGTGATGGTGTGGGGCTGTTTTGATGTCTCAGGACCTGGAAGACTTGCTGTGGTAAATGGAACCATTAATTCTGCTGTCTACCAAAACATCCTGAAGGAGAATGTCCAGCCATCTGTCCATGACCTCAATCTGGAGTGCATTTAAGTTCTTCCGACATCCACTCTCAGTAAACACAACTTGTTGCTGAATCCAAGAATGCTAGCTACAGCTCTGTGAAGAAACCTATATATAAACAATACTGAGAAACACTGCTTACTTCTCAGGGTCATGAATGTTGCAATGACGTCGTCTGACCACACACGGCATACAGCAGGCACAGGGGGAGAGGAGCCATCCAGCTTGTTATCAGCAGACAGTTGCTAGGGAAACGGCAATCATGATTTGGGGTACATTAGTGTACACTATGAGTAATTAGAACATCTGTTAATGATATAAACAGGTTATGGAGTAACATATACTGCCTTTCAGGAAAACGTTTCTTTTGTTGAACCTCTTGAATTAAAGCTGAAAGTTCACATTTCAGTTGCATATTGATTGTTTATGCTTGTATGCACATTCTATGCATGTGGTGCTGTGCAGAGAAAAACAGAAGTTTGATGAGGAGAAAAACAAAATCTAGCTAATAGAAAATGTGTCATGCGTAAGTGGTTTGAGTGTGGAAATATTAGGTTTGCTTTTGTGGGAAGATTCCTTGAGTCTCTTATCTTTTTAAATTTGAAGTTTTGCTTCATCATGTTTTAACACCTGTAGAATCCATAATTTGGAGGAAGGAGGGTGAATGCGATTGAAAATATAAAGACCTAGAAACTAAAAAGGACTAAGCCCTAGAAAAAAAGATTTGTCAGCGGTATTTAATTATTAAATTGGGAATCTGTATATCAGCTCAAAACTAAGTCATATCGTGATGAAAGTTCAATTTAATTAAGAATATTTTTCAAGTCCGATGCACAAGACTCTGTTCTAATAACCCACACATGAAACAACTTCTTATTTTTGTCTGCTAATTTGTTTTCCACTCAAGTCCAGCTTTGATCCACCTAATGCACAGATGCACTGGAGTCATTCAGTATGAGAGGCATCACAAAAAGAGCATGAATGGGTATACATTAAATATCGCTTAACAGGGAGAAAGCATTAGCCTCATCAAAGATAAATAGGTCTTAGGAAGCTACACAGTCATTACATGTCTGTGAGCCATTTTGGTGCAGACATCTGCAGCCGCCGTTAGACTCGCTGATATGGAAAATCTGTTTGCTAACTCATTTAAGAAAATGTACAGAGACCATAAAATGCCACACAACGGAAATGTTTATTGATGCATGTGCAAAGTTTGAAGATATGACTTTGAGGAATATACAATAAGTCAGCAACAACACAAATTTAAAAATGTAAACAATCCCTTTAGTAGTGATATTGTTTTATATTATTGGCATTTAGGTGATATTGTACTTATTGTGGGCTTTTCACATTTACAGCCCTGAAATCTTCACTGAATGGTCCCTTTTTTATTAGTATACTATCTTTAATTTTAGAGGAAATTAAGAAATAAAGACACAGCCATGACTATTTTATTATAAGGTAACACAGAGCTGGAGGTAGACAGGAAAACAGTCTACAGCTGGCTACAAGCTGCATTATGTCTTATTTTTAAAATACTCACAAAAAAGTAGAGAGAGCTGATGCTGAAGATGACAGCGTGACCCATTCTTAAGCTTTAATATCGACAGATTTATCATAGATTTTATTTTATTTAATCGTTCCGTTATTGCAAACATGCATTATAACAATCTGATTGCATATTGCTCCAGTAACATTTTCAGGCTATAGTCATGAATACTGAATAAATTAACTCTGTACAAATAAACACCTATACACTGATCAAGTCTTTGGGTGATTTGAATATACCTATAGTAATTTTACACTCTACCCGCAAACAATAAACAGCAAAATTTACAGCTTCACAAGAGACGAGAAATAATAGAACATGTACATACAACAGGCTGAGGATCCACCTCGAGAGATTACACAAAATAAAAGGCTGTTCAAACTCAGGTTGACGCCAACACCTACTGAACTGTTTGGGGTTTTAAAATTTATTTTTTTCTTTTTTGCACATTTAAGATCAGAAAGCCACCCATCAGGATATCAGAGCTCAGAGGTTGTTTAACTCATACAGAGAGGGTGTACTGGTGGCAGCAGATGGTAGAGTCGGTGCTCTGGAGGCTGAAGGCTAACACAGCCCGCCTTCATAGTCATCCTCCTCTTCCTCTGGAGCTGGTGCCCCACTAGCACCACCCTGTGGAGCAGCAGCAGCCTTCTTCTTCTTTCCTCCTCCTCCTCCAGGTACCCTCAGGGAAATAGCCAGTTTGGCATACTGTGAGGGGGAGGGGGAGTGTCATTAGCCATCAGATTTAAAGCCCCTCAATATTTATGCTTTAATCAACTATTTTAAAACGAATAACAAAACCCATAAACACATTTCCTCCTTTGGCAGTGTTGAAATATGGCATCGTTTAAATCAAAATCTAATGACAGCTCTTAATCTAATCCATCCACAACAAATCAACACAGTCCTAATGAAGTTGTCAGTATATGTCAGTAACATCTAAGTCCACACAGGATTTATTTTCATCTTTCATCTTAGGTGATTTTAACATCACCTAAGACAGATAATAATGTCAATCCCACCTGGACCATGACAGCTGTTCCTGCTGCATCTTTAATCTTCTAAAATACAGAAGTTTAATTAGAAATATTTCAGACCTGTTCAGATTTGAGTAGAAAGGTTCATTAAAAGTAAGAGATGGATGGTTAGAATGTAGAAACAGACTACATTTCAAACAGATAGCTAACAATCAAAAAGGTGAATAACCGAATACTTTAAACAACTAAACTAAAGCCTAACATACTACAAAGACAGCTAAAATGTCTGCCTTACAGAATGAGTGGAAATATATCTTGAAACACTGAGTAGCTGTTGGAGTATGAAGGAGCAACCAAAAGTATTGGACGAAAGGTAACAGCAGTGAGCTAGAAGTTGGTTTGAAGTTGTTAATTAAAGCTGATAAAGTATTAAGTGTGTTAAATGAAGCATTAATATAATCAACTCCTCCAAGGAGGTGAGAGCATTTATACTTGTGTGCTGCTTGGCTCCCCTATTCTGCAATTTCACCACCAAAACACCACCTGGTGGCGGGGTTTCTCTCTTCCTGCTGATTCAAACTATGGCAGCTGAAGTAGCTTGAATCATTCAAACTGAGTGGTTCAATCACAGCTGCTGCAGTCTGCATTGATCCAGTGTGTAGTTACAGTACATTTCAAGGGAGGTGCACTTCCAGTCATGGCATAGGTTTTCAGAAAGATTTGGGGGTAACCCTGTATCTACAGAGTAGATGAGACACAGTAGTAATAGCCCTGGATCTGGTAGAAGGAATTATTAGAAGCACCCGTCACAGTAGCACATAGGTCAAAATTTGACATTTTGTGTCATCTTTTCAAAAAAACATGTTAAATTGAAATAAGAAAAACTGGACACCATCTTGATGTTCTCAAAGAAACTTTCTCCAACTCATCTGGAACCAGGGCACCAACTCATGTGTGGTGTGGGGGGAATTTTCAGCCTTAAGACAGGTATTAAGCCTCGGATTGCTTTACAGATGGTTAAAACACTGTGTGGAACAGTGATAGCTGAGGACATTCTTTATTTTCCACCTTACTCTGTAAAGGCTATTAATTATATATCTAAGGTAACAGAGAAAAACCTGCAATCATGAATACAATGGCTAAAATTCATTTTTATTGTTTGGATTATCTTGACGTTATTTTGGCATTCAGCAAAAAAAAAATATATATATAGACAGACAGGCGGACGGACGGACGAATGATAAGCCTAGTGTTCTGGAAACTTAGCTAACACGTCAGACGTCGCTGCATTATCACAACGGGGCCAGAAGTCTACCATAATCACAAACCACAACAATGAAACCTTAGTACTCACATCATTGTCCATGTACTTCAGCAGAGGTGAGTTACACACGCGATAGACCTGGTCCTCATCCTGCTCATCATAGCCCTGAAGTAACGTCTCCATGGCAACACAATCTTCACTTCCACTATAGCCAGGCAGGCTGGAGGAGATCAAGCAGTACATCATGTAACCATCTTTAAAGTAAGTGGCAGCAGCGATACACCATGAATGTGACATCAAGGGTCAAACAAAGTAAGAAGCGAGCCGGTTCTTTCTCTGTTCTTTGATGTTTTGATGAGGATGCGGAATATTTTCCTGCCAGGCTGGCTCGAGGAGACTTTAGTCTCTTCTAACTTCATAATACAGATGGCAATGAAGTGTAGGTGAATTGGCTTACCTGTAACTTTCTCTGACACATTTATCAGCTGCTACGTAGTCGCCTCTGTGAAGATGAACCAGTACTTGAGCAGTTGTTTTCTAAGGAAGAAAAAAAAAACATGATTTAAATGATATGAAAAAATTAAAAAAGGAAATCTCTTATATGATCGTTTCAGGTGCATAGTGCTGGCTATGAGCATGGCTGTCCCACCCGCCTGCTCTTCAAACCACTGCTTTATGAGGAGCAGACAATGAAAAGAAAGTTGTCTTAAAAACGTGATTGACTTAAAGGCAGAGAAGATAAACCAGATTAAGAGAAACACCACAACATTGCCTACAATGGAAACCTGATTGTTGCACTGCTGATAAACTGTGCAAAAAAGATGTACATGATATAAAAACAAACAGCTGAGCCACCTTGAAGCACATCGGGAAGTTCTCGATCTCTTTGTACATATTCTTTTCTTTCTGCAGGGCGACTGCCGCTTCGTCCAGCCTGGTTAGAAAGGCCAGAAAAAGGCTGATGAGGAGCAGGTTTACAAACACATCACTAACATGAAATATATCAAACAAGCAAGAAGAGAAATCAAAGGAAATTCATTTACCAAGCCCAGCCTTCAAGGTTACCATATCTGATCCTTGGTAATATATATGTGTAAAACCAAAGATGAGTGTTAACATCCCATCCACCATTATTTCCCTTTACCTTTTTAACCTGACCAGAAGTCTGGAGGCTTTTCCCAGCAGTTCTACTGCCTGACGTAGGCGATCCTCATTCTACAAAACACAAAAAAAGGATAAAACAGCTGACTGAACCCCCCCCAAAAAAGCTAAATTATTAAATCTTTGTTGATATCCATACCTCAAATACACCTGCTGCCTTCTGATACAAGTCCACAGCTTTCTCCAGGTTTATAGGCTCTATCAGTCTGAGGAGGAAAAATGTGTTTTAGGAAACACTCTTTTTCAGTCGGAGTATTTTTTGTTAGAATTGAAAGTCAGTTTCTGAGAATAAAAAGTTAACGTAAGTATAATAAACAGCACGTAAATATGCATAATGGCAGTAACAATGCAAGCATTAATTCTCATTACAATAAAGCGATCAGACTTGTGCCATAACCAGCAGCTGGCAGCTTATAATGTTAATAGTTAAAATGATCTTAAGCCTATCTAACATTGCTCCATTGTGAGGTGACAAAATGGATCGAATAAAAAAATAAAATAAAATTCTGCATATTAGCTATACCAGTGATTCCCAAAATGTGGGTCATAGCTCCCAGGTGGGCTGCAAAGGAGCTGCAGGTGGGCCATGAAGTGATTTACAAGAAATCGGTTTTATATTATTTACTTTAAAACTGCCATTAGATATTTAGAAATCATTTTTAAAAAGATATAGAATGAATAAATCAATGTTGTGAAATTTCAAAATTAGATGATTAATTTTCTGATCTATTTTGATCCTGAAAAATCAATAGTAGAAAAAACTAACATGAAGATGGTGCCAGAAATAAAGCTGCTAATGCAGAAGCTCAAATTAATAATTTAAAACACACACAAAAAAAACCTTTAAATTCTTGTGTTAGCCTTGTGTGATGTGATAGTGTGTTTAAAGGTTTGGGAGATCCATAGAAAACGTTCATATTTTAAAATGGTAAGGCTCTGTCTTAAGTCTGGGGACGGCTGCACTACAGAATTAGAATTAAGAGTTTCCTTAAATTTCTGCAGCACTTTATCACAGTGAAAATTTAGCTTTTAGTTAGCTGTGGGCATAATCAAATACATTCATATCGCCATTCCAATGAAAAAAATATGCTTAACTGGTCAGCACTGATCAGCAGAGTAAATTAAGGTATTATTTTTACTTTCCAGCCCGGTCCAGAGCCATGGCAGCAGTGTCCGGTGTCCCGTTCTCCATGTACATCATGCAGGCTTTCTCTATGTACTGGATGGCCTCTGGCATTTTCTTTTGTTCCTGATGCAGTGCAAACACAGCAGAGTTACAATTGTGCTACTGAATCATTATCTCCATCTGTTTTATTATGACTTCACTGTGTGGTTTTAGAGTGGTTACACTCACCTTCATCATCATACCAGCCTGTTCAATAGCCCTGAGGAAATAAGAGTTTGAATCAAACAGGTGTTTCCAAGTTTGCAGCTGCTTCAATATTACAGGTTATTAAGCATTATACTTACTTTGCAGCATGAAAAAGCCTGAAGGACAAGCTAAGGAAATAGCCAAACAAGAGTGAAACTGTGTCATGCTAACAAATATATGGCTTAAAATAAATCAGATTACGTTCTCCATTAATAAAATGTTAAACCCCTGATACAAACTTCCCACAGTCTAAAGTGACTTTAACTCTTCTTAGCAAAAATCAACAAGTTGCTAGAAATCTTCCTCAGAGGTTTGGGTCCTTGAAGACACAGCAGGATTACAGTTGTTACAAATTTCTGAGCAGCACCTTACAAATGCAATTCTACTGTTCAACTTTGTCCCAGAGGTGCTCTGTTGGATTAAGACCTCCTTCGATTTTTGACACAAGGCAAAATGAATCCATGCCAACGTATAAAGTGCTCATGAAATGAAAACCCATCAGAATCAGGGGTGTAACAATTCTTCGAAGCCAGATTTGTTTTACCAGGGTTTGATGGCAGGGTTTTAGCTCAAATCTTAGTTTTCCTTGAGTGGTTGAATAACAAAATACATATGGGAAAATAATCAGTTTTCCACAAATCTTGTCACTTAATTATTTCATTATAAACTGATGACATTTCAATATTTCTACACAATATCTCCACGTGGGTCTCACAGTATGGAATGACAGAATTATAATATATTGTGTATATTTTTGCCAGAGTTTTGCTGGTCTTGGTTTTAGAGTTGTTGCACCCCTAGTGAGAATAACTATGGTACGCTGTTAAATCTGCGATAAGCAGGCACCCTGAACCCATCTATAACAGGACCCAGGGTGCAGGGTTAAAAACGGTTACACCCTACACTGCCTGCACGCTTTGTGTTTCTGTTGTCTGATTGGCTAATTAGAGGTTTGCTTTAAAGAGCCGCTAACAAAGTGGCCAGCGATTGCACAGAATATATGCAGACTTGTGCCTTTCCTTTGATCAGGAAAGGATACGTTTTGTTTTCTGTGTGGTACTCAGCTTCCTTCAGATAAGCATCCTTTGCTTGTTCATACTGCTTGGCATTCTTGAAGCACACAGCTAGAAACAAAGCACAGAGGTTAGCTTACTGTGAAATTATATATTTGTAATATAATGATAAGAAAAAACACTCCAGTTTTAAGCAATAGTGTCGTTTCGTGTTTTACCTGCTTTGGCGTATTCTGATGCAGCACTGTCAAAGTCAGGCTTCCACTTTGTCAGACTCGTTTTTAAGCTGTAAACACACCACGAGTAACAAATAATACAATTATAATTCGATGGATAAATAACCACAAAGTCACTTTATGTCGCATAACCTTTCAACAGAAAATACACAGTGGCCTTACAGCTAGCTAACGTGAGTAGTAAAACTACAGAGCAGGAAATAATCGTTTTTGTCCTGGCTCACCATTTCTCCGCTTTGGCTATGTGCTCGTGCGCTTCGTTTATCTTCTGAGCAGCCATTATGTTGATCGATCAACTCGGTTATGAGGAATATGTTATTGATAAACGACTATGGATGTCGCTTCGTCGATGTTTGGATTACCAGGAACTCCTCCTCGGCCGCAACGTCACTAACTGTCGCAGGTTACGGATGCCGCATTGGACCAAAAAACAGCAACAACAGGGAATGCGAAAATCTGGCTCTAGTACTGTAATGCAGCTAGAAAATTTGCTTTTTGTTTTTT